CAATTCCCTAGCGATCTCACAATACCAATGTAGCGCTCAGCTTGAGAAGCACCGTGATTTTCAGGGTCAGGGGCCACCGGCTCCTCTTCAGTCGCCAAACCAGCCTTAAGACGAGTGGCAACCACGTAGGCCGCCAACTGCTTCATTGCAGGTTCTGTGTCATACCTTAGGCCAATGCGGGTGTACCCCAAGGTGTTCGCCATTCTCACGATCTCCTCTACACAGTGCTTCAAGCTTCTAGCGCCCTTTCCATCGATAGCTATAGCTTGGGTGTACTTGGTTTGGGAGTCAACGATGATCAAGTGTGTCGCCAATGGTTGCCCTTCACCTTCTGTGCTTGTGAACATGTAATCTATGGACAAGATCGGATATTCGCGAGTAGGCAACGCGTCACTGTAGTTATCCTCCCGGCTCCTCGAAGCAAGGCATGCCTCACACCATGGTGCGCGCGGAATGTGCGTGGTTTCATGAAGCAACACCAAATCTTCACTCGGTCGCTCTGCAAGAGATGGCACAAGTGGCTCACGAGAATACTCAGCTTTCACGGCTTCCGATGCTTCAACACTCACCTTCAACTTGGCTAATGCAACCTCACGCTTAAGACGACTCCACACTGCAGCTTTGGACCCGTTCTTGGAGATGCCCATCCAGACGCACGCCATGCGAAGTTCTCGAAGTGGGCTCGTCTCGGTTAGGCGTGTGCCGTTGATGACGAGGGCTTCTTGTTCAGGTCCTTCTACTTCTACTGCGTGGGGTCCAAGCATAGGGCCTTCGGGGCGATCACGAGCATCATCACCGCGATCATCAGCACCACGATCCACCTCCATCGCATCTTCATCCACAACATCTTCGACACGAGGCTCAACTCTGCGTGGAGGGGCTCCCGAAACAGGCTTGCCAAGCTCTTCAGGATCTAGAGGGGCTTTCGACAAAACAGTGATCACCTTCTTGCACTTCTCATCTAGCTCTCTCTCTCTCTCTCTCNNNCATACTTCCTCCCTTCTCGCCAGAGAAGAGTACTGCGATGAGGCCAGTCGTCAGGACTGAACTGCAGGGATGCATCGAACGTTTTGTCGACGTTGAGCCCGAAATGAACCAAACGACCACTAGAATCCATACTCCAACCCGGTTCACGTGCATGAAGCTCCAACTCATCTGGAATTTCCACAATCATCTGCACTCGAGGCTGCTCTGGAAGGCTGGGGCCTGGAAGCTCATGAGGGGTCTGAGGAACTTCATGTGCTACACGCGAAATGGTCATGTACGTGGCTAGGCTGTTGCGAGACCAATGCAAAGGAAAACGAGCTTCACCTCGACGCATTGTCCACCTACCAAACTCATCACACTCTGGAACCCACTGTCTCTTCATGAGCTTTCCGAGGCAAAACAGTGGTTGTTGCACATGTGCTAGCACTACGCGGTCTTTGAACTCAATGATCGTACCATCCTCATCATGAATCTGGAAGCACACTTGAACGCGCTCCTCACCCCCAGCAATGCGATTTCCTTGTGCGTCCAACAGGACACTCATGTTTCCTTGCAGGCTCGGAGAGCCTACTGCTCCGTAGATCTCAGCAGGAAGCACCGTGCAGTCGGCACCGGAATCGAGGATCACTTCTACGGGCTGATTCTCATGATGCTGGCTCGCACTGCTACCGCGTACTGCACGACAATACTCGCGCTCATCTTCTGCATCATCTTGATCTAGCTGAAACCACAAACAACTTGACGAAGGAAGCTCAAAATCTTCACCCTCACTCTCACAGCCTACTTCTTCAAGCCGACGGACCTGATCCAAGCGCCAAGCCTCCGAATCACCAGTCTCTTCGTCGATGTCATCCAAGTCGTACACCAGAACTCGTCTTACCTGAGATTTTGCTGAGGCTGAAGGGGCCGACGTAGAGGCTGAGGTACTCGGGGCCGCAGTGGAACGGGTTACTGTCGAAGACGTGTCATCTTCTTGAACCTGGTGTGCAC